TGATAAGGAACAATGATATTAGTTTAAAAACTAAAGTGCAATTGATTCAAACTATAGACTTTTTAAATTTCTTGCTATGCATCTGAAAGTCAGACAACAAATCAAGATGACAGAAGAATTGATGCCTTTAAGTTCTGTTGTTAGAGGAGAGTACTGAATATCCCATGGACTGCCAAGAAAACAAACAAGTATGTCTTGGAGAAAGTGCAGCCAGAATGCTCCTGAGAGGTGAGAATAGGGGTGCTTCATCTCACTTCACACTTCGGGCATGTTGTAAGGAGGGGCCAGTCCTTAGACAGGTAGCTGGGAAAGATAGAGAGGGTCAGTGAAAAACGAGAAGACTTAAAGGGAAGTCGATTGACACAGTGACAGTAAATGGGCTCAAGCATAATCGAGACAGTGAAGATGGGTCCAGACACATTGTTCATAGGGTTGCTATGAGTCACTATGACTCGACAGTACTTAACAACAACTCCATCCACACATAACCATAAATAGGAATGAAGTTCATGCTACAACATGGATAAAGCTTGAAGATAAAGCTACGTGAAAGAAGTCAATCACAAAGCACAAGCCTTATGCTCCTGCTTATGTGGCCTATCTAGAAGAGGGAGATGTTTAAAGATTAAAGCAAGTATATTAGAGGCAACAAGGTGTGAGAGAAAGGGGAAAGGGATGCTATTACTTAAGAGGCACTGAGTTTCTGTTAAAGGTGATCTTTAAAACCTGAAAATGGATCGTGAAAATGGTTCTAAAAAATAAAAAGGGGAGAGTGATTAATGTCACAGAATTGAGCATGTGAAAATGATTGATGTGACAATTGTCGTATATATCTTATCACAACTGCTAACAGAATGTGAAAAATCAAACAGAAATGGCTGCCTCCAGCTTCCACACGCAGACGTTTCTCCTAGAGACAAGTCTACTGCTGGTACCAAGGGTGTTGATTACGGACCCAGGCGAGGGTAGAAGCAGACGGACTGGTTGGCTGACTGTTGCAGGAAGCAGGTGGCAAGGACAGTGGCTGGGTCCTCGAGTAGGAGTAGAAAAGCAGCGAGACCTGTTTGGACACTGACGAGATTTTGAAAGTGGAGTCAACAGAATTTGCTAGAGGCTTACTGTAAGTAGGGTGGGGAGAAGAGGAGCGGTCAAGGGTGACTCCAGAATTTGAATTATTAATGATCTGGTCAATGAAGCTACAATGAGACAGGAAAGACGAAAGTGGGGACGGGTTCAAATAGATGGTCGTGAAGTCTCCTGGAAAGTAAAAAAGTTGGCATTGTTATTGTTTATTATTATTGGGGGGGGCTTGTGTATAGGTGTGTGGCTTCTTAAGGTATTTGCCCAGCATGCACAGTGAACAAGTGTGGTAAAAGCATGCAGTGGTACGTGCCTTTCTTGATTTAAAACCAGGCAGTATCCTCTTGTTTTAGTGATCTATGTACAAGAACACTTAATTTTGCCTATGCAAAGCTTATACTTAGACCAGGAGAGTGTTGTGCAAACAGAGCAAGAGACCACTGTTGTTGTTGTTGTTGTTAGGTTCCATCAAGTCGAGTATGACTTATAGCAACCCTATGAACAAATGATCTGAACCTTGTCCTGTCCTGTGCCATCCTCACACTTCCTGATACACAAGAGCCCATTGCAGTAGTCACCTTGTCAATCAACCTGGTTGAGGGTCTTCTCCTTCGTCAACACTTCACCCTTCCCAACATCATGTGCCTCTACAAGGAACAGCACCTCCTAGCAATATGTCCGAAGTATGTGAGGCAAAGCCTCATCATTCTTGCCTCCAAAGAGTACTCTGGCTGCACCCTCTCCCAGACATATCTATATGTTTTCTTGGCTGTCCATGGAATGTTCTGTGCTCTTCTCCAGCACCACAACTCAAAGGCATCGGTTCTTTTACTGCCATCCTTATTCATTGTCCAGGTCTCAGACATATAGCTAGTAATCAGAAAGACCACGACCTGAATCAGACAAATCTATAGTCCTCAAACTGACGTTCCTACCCTTCAATAATTTGGAGAGGTCCCTAACTGCAGATTTTCCCAGTGCAATGCATCTCCTTATTTCCTGACTGCTAGTACCACAGGTGTTAATTGTGGATCCAAGTGAGATGAAGCTGTTGACAGTTTCAATCTCCTCTCTATTCATCATGACGCTGCCTATTGGACCAGTGGTAAGAATCTTTGTTTTCTTGATATGGAGACACACTCCATACTGAAGATTGCATTCCTTGCTCTTCTGCAACAACTGCTTCAAATCATCCTCACTTTCAGCAAGTAAGGCTGTGCTATCTGCATAATGCAAGTTATTAATAAGTCTCCCTCCAATCCTGATGCCACACTCTTCTTCATAACAGTCCAGCTTCTTGGATAATTTGCTCAGCATATAGATTGAACAGGTATGGAGGGAGACTACATCCCTGACACACTCCCTTCCAAATCCCAAACCATGCAGTGCTCCCCTGCTCCATTAGCACAATAGGCTCTTGCTCCAGGTATAGGTTCCTCATGAGCACAATCAAGTGCTCTGGGATTCCCATTCTTCTCAATGTCAGACACAGCTTGTCATGATCCACACAGTCAAACACCTTTGCATAGTAAATCAAGCACAAATTGACATTCTTCTGGCATTCCTTACTTTCAGCCAGGATCCATCTGATATCAGCAATGATATCCTTGGTGCCACAGCCTCTTCTAAATCCAGCTTGGTGGCTTAGTGGTAAGGAGCAGCACTACCAACCCAAAAGTATGCCGTTTGAATCCACCAGCTGCTCTGGGGAAAGATAGGCAGTCAGTTCTCACGTGATTTACTGCTTTTGAAAGTGCACAGGTCGGTTCCAACTTGATAGCAAACAACAGGAACTTCATTTTGGTACAGTGACTCTGAGAATTCTTTCCGTCGTCCTCATTGCTTTTTGCATCATTCAGTATTTTGCCCATAGAATCCTTTCGTATTACAAGCTGAGGCTTGAATTTTTCTTCAGGTTTTTCAGCTTGAGAAATACCAAGCGTTTTCTTCAGTTTTGGTTTCCTAGCTGCAGATCTTTGCACAATTCATTATAATAGTTTGCTTTGTCTTCTCAAACTACCCTTTGAAATCTTCTACTCACTTTTCTTACTCATTCCTTCCTTTCAAATCAGCATCTTTAAGTTGGCATTCTGGTGCTGTGTCCCATAGAGAGCTACATTGCTACTCAAAGGCTGTGTTTCTCTGCCAGTTCAGATCCCCCAGCCCCTCCACAGGAGAAAGACAGGCAATCTCCTTCTGTGTGATTTACAACCTCAGACCCTAGGAAGGGTCAGCCAGGAATCGGTCCTGACTCAGTGGCAATGAACTCACCTTTTTTTCTTTTAGCTTATATGTCCCATAGTCTCTTATAACATCCATATTTGGTCTCTGCTTTATTTTTTTGTGTTTTAAATAACATATTGCTTTTTTAATGTATGATGTTCTTGTCGTCCCACAACTCATCTAATCTTTAGTCATTGATGCTCAATGCATCAGATTTGTTCTTCAGCTGGTCTCTAAATCCAGGTGGTAATTGTAATTTGACACTAAGGAACTTATTTTTATTTTCTTCAAAAATGAAGAAACTTCCCATTTGAACTTGGATATGAGCAACTGATGGTCTGTTCCACAAACTTTCATCAGGTTCCAACTGATAATAGTGAGCTTCCCCATAATCTCTTTCCACAGATGTGGTCGATTTTATTTTTATGTGTTTGAGCAGAAATATGCCTGATCTTTGCTCCATCCTCACCATTGCTACTACGCATGAGGCCATTCTAGTATGTACTAATCTATTTAGAGGGTCTTCTCTTAACAAGAACTATTATTACAGTGTTGATGAATTATTATTCACAGTGTTAACTCATCTCGTTGTTGTCCTGAAGTTCTATTCAGATATTTGGTTCAGCCTGTGCTGAATATTCCCAGAGAGGAAACAATGGGACAATGGCATGGATGCATATTCTATTAGCCTTAGCTTGGCACTGCCAGGTCAGGGTCACTCTGGCATGCAGAGACAGGCAATGCTCTTGGGAAGCATCCAAAAATGAGCAGAACAGGGCAGGGCCGAGAGGATGTGTGGAATGGTTCACAGATAATAGAAACTAAAGGGGGGAGGAAAGATCTGTGTCTTGATTTAGTTCTCCCAGAAGCAAGTACTGTGTCAAGACTCTTAACACAAATAGAGTGTTTAGAGGCGACATTCATGGTGAAATTCTGGCCTTTCAAAAGGACGACACTGTTCAAAGTTCCCAGTGGGTGCACCTCAAGTGCATCATGCATCTGTCCCATCATCGCCCATATGTCCTATCATCACACACCTGTCCCATCATCACTCATCTGTACGTGGGGGTGTACGTGTCTCTGTAATGTTCAACAGGTTTTAGCAGAGCTTCTGAACAAAGACAGATAGGAAGACCTACTTTTGCAAACATACTATTGAAAACCCATCAGGTTTTTCTTCCATGGCACCACTAGGTGGGTTCAAGCTGCCAATCATTAGGCTAAAAGTTAGAAGCTAAACCATTTGTGCCACCCAGGCAACTACACAATCACAACTGGGTCTCTATAATGGGAAACCACATGGGGTGTGTCTGGGGAGGGTTAAGTCGAGACCACAACTGTTGAAAGAACGGCCGAAAGATAGGAAAGGTCATGTCAGAACCTGGTGGAATGGAGACTGTAGTTGTTAGTTGTCACTGAGTCCAGTTAGCCTCATGGCAACTTCATATCTTACAGAGTAAAACTCCCCTATAGAGTTTTCTTAGCTGTTGTCGTTACAGAATCAGATTCTCAGCTTCTTCTTCCATGGTACCACTGGAAGAAGCTTTGAACCACCAACTCGAGGTTTTCAGTGGAGCAAACGCTACTTGCTTTGGGAGGAATTGATAGGAGGAGCAAGCCTTACCATCCGCTGGTTGGCCTTCTGATAGACCTGTAGATAGCTCCTCCGTTTCATTTCTCATTGATCCAGGAAGACCATGGAAGCAGCCAACCTCACCAGGGTCTCTGAGTTCCTCCTCCTGGGCCTCTCACAGGACCCTGAGCAACAGCAGCTCCTGTTTGGCCTCTTCCTGAGCATGTATCTGGTCACAGGTCTGGGAAACCTGCTCATCATCCTGGCCATTGGCACCGATGTCCGACTCCACACCCCCATGTACTTCTTCCTCGCCAACCTGGCCTTTGTGGACATCTGCTTCACGTCCACCACCATCCCCAAGATGCTGGCCAACCACGTGTCAGGACGCCAGGGGATCCCATATGCTGGCTGCCTGACCCAAATGTTCTTCTTTATCTGGTTTGCTGGCATCGATAGCTTCCTGCTGACCGCCATGGCCTACGACCGCTATGCAGCCATCTGCCACCCTCTGCACTACACCACGTCTGTGACACCACAGCTTTGTGGCCTGCTGGTAGTGGCCTCATGGACTGCAGCCTTTGGGAACTCCCTGACCCACACTGTGCTGCTAACACACCTCTCATTCTGTGGTCACAACCAGGTTCCCCATTTCTTCTGTGACCTCAGTCCTCTGCTGAAGCTGGCCTGTTCCGACACCTTCCTCAATGACTTGATGGTGTACACAGTGGGGGCCCTGCCCATCATCACCCCCTTTGTGGGCATCTTGGTCTCGTACACACGCATCTTTGCAGCCGTGCTGAGGATCCCCTCTGTAGGAGGGAAGCGCAAGGCGTTCTCCACCTGCGGTTCTCACCTCTCAGTGGTGTCCCTGTTTTATGGGACACTCATTGGGGTTTATTTCAGCCCCATGTCCTCCCACACGGCCCAGAAGGACACCCTCGCTGCGGTGATGTACGCTGTGGTCACCCCCATGCTGAACCCTTTCATCTACAGCCTGCGCAACAGTGACATGAAGGGCGCCTTGGGGGGCCTCATCAGCAGGAAGCCAGTTTTCAATCGGTGACCGTGGAGTGGGGTGATCGGGTGGTCCGAGTGTCCAAAGACAGTGCCCACTGAAAAACAAGGAACTCATGCAATATTATTTAAAATGGGTGACTCTGGAGGACATTATGCTGAATGAAGTATCTCAGTCACAAAAGGACAAATACTGCATGGTGCCACTGTAAAACAGGACTGACCTTGGGGTTGGGGGGAGACTGAGAAAGATGGGTTCAATAATGTATACTGCACTGAAACAGATAAGGGAGAAAATTGTTTAAAAGGGATATGTGATTAGGTATTTTTGTCATGACAGGAGTCCAGAGCGAAGGCTACATGGTGGAGTGGACCTGGGGGAGGATTTGTAAAACAATAAAAGTATTTGTCTTTTACTTTTCCAAGACGGTAGTGTACTGGGGGGGGGGGTGTTGGGAGGGGAGAAAAGTGCAACAGTGAATGAATGAAAATCCAAAGTCTCTGTAAAATTTTACTAAACTTAATAATAAATTTAAATTTTAAAAAAAAGACAGTGCCCAACTGTAGTGAAGTCCCATCCAAGTCTCAATCTCCATTGTTTCCTTCAATCCATTCATTCGTTTCTTCCTTCAGTCTTCCAATGGCTATTTATTAAGCATCCATTACATTTTTGTGATTGTGGTTGTGTTTGTTGTTAATTGCTATTGAGTCAAGTCCTACTCATGGCAAGCCCACGGACAACAGGACAAAACATTGGCTGGTCCTGTGCCCTCTTCCTGATCATAGCCAAGTTCAAGTCAAAGCAAGACATTGCTGTGTATTCTCAGCATCTTCTAACCTGCAGGCTCATCTCTGTCACTACATTGGACAGTATTCTCTTGTTGTCTATGGACTTTTCATTGGTTAAATTTTTGAATAGGTTGCCAGGCCTTTCTTACTAGTCTTTCTTAATCTGGAGGCTCCACTGAGACATGCCTGCATAGGGGATCCCTGCTTGTATGTGACATGCTGATGGAGTAGCTGCCAGCATCACAGCAACACATAAGCCAACCACTATGGTAAACTGGCAGATGGGTAGGGGGTTTGTGTACCTACATTCCTAAAAGGATGGCTGGAACTAAGGCTGTCAGGTTCTCAGGTCACGAGATGTACACAAGGCAAGAGTCCCATGGAGAATTCTCCCACAGCAGTGGTACTGACATCCTGATGGGCTCTGGCTGGCTGTCCTATTGGCAAGGGTAACTGGAGCTGCCAGATGAGCACGGATACGTCCAATGTGTAGATTCTAGAGTCAGAGAGGCTGAGTGTGGATCCCAGCTCTGCCACATCTTAGGTGTGTGGCCTTGGGAAAGTCACCTGGCCTCTCTGTGGCCCAGTTTCTCCCTCTATAAAAGTGGGAATGTTAATAGCCCCTACCTTGCAGGGTTATTATAAAAATTAAGTAAGTGTATGCACGTAGAGCACTTAGAAAGGCACAGGCACATTGAGGGCCATGACAGTGTTAACTGTAATTATTACTAATTAGCACGATGGTTGCCATAAAGCTTGTGGTCAGGCCCGTTTTTCCACATTCATGGACTGGATTCCCTGAATGGATCTCAGAGCCTTGGGGGAGGAGCTGGGCAAATTTGCTCCCTCCTCTAACCTTGCACACCCATCCTCCACGACACTTCACTTTAGGGCCACTGTTGTAAAACGGGACTGACATCGGGGTTGAGGAAAGACAGAGTAGAAGGGCAGGAATGATGTCTACTGCATTGAAACAGATGAGGGAGAGAACTGTTTAAAGGGATATATGATTATTATTGTCATGACAGGGGTCCAGAATGAAGGCTGCATAGTGGAGTGGACTTGGGGGGGAGGGATTGCATAACAGTGAAAGAGTTTTTCTTTTACTTTTCAAGGAGAAGAGTGAATTGGGAGGAGGGGTGGACAAGGAGAAAAGTGCAACAATGAATGATTGGAAACCGTAAGTCTCTGTAAACTTGCATTAAAATAAAAAAATTTAAAATGAGGTAATATGTATATAACGTGTGACATCTTAACCACTTTTAAGTGTACTAGTCAAAGACATGAATCCCATTCCCAATATTGCATAAACATTACCAACATCTCATTTCAAATCATTCTTATCACCCCAAAGAGAAACTCCGTACCCCCTTAAGCAATAACTCCCTGTTCTCCCTTCAGTCAGTCCCTGAGAACCAATAATCTATGTGTCCTTGTCTTTACTTAGTCTAAATATTTTTTATTTGCTTACAAAGTTCGTATACATCTTATCTTTCTCCCCTACTACACACCCACCCACCTCACTTTGAGAAGTAGAAAAATCTCCAAATTGCACTTTATCCATCCATATTTTAATGAACTCTTTTCCACATCTTTTCTATTGAAAATAATTCAGAAATTATTATGGAAGCACGTATATCAGTTCCTGTCAAAGCTCTTATTTCTTTAGGATATATACTTCAGAACAGGGTTTTATAGTTTCAGCTTCCTAAGAAAACGCCATATTTCTATTTGTGGAGATCACTGTGGATTTTATGTAGTAGTGCTTTATAGTTTTCTTTGTACAGATCTTTTCTATCCCTGCTTGAGTTTAGTCCTGTACTTGCGTCTTTTGAGTAGTTACTGCAAATGGCTTTGTTTTCCTTATTTCCTTTTGTGGGTTCTTGTTATAACTGTAGAAGAATCTGACTCTTTTATATTGATATTAAATTATGCTACCTTATTGGAAAAAAACCCCCAAAGTTTGTATACATTGTGTTGCACACCATTCTTCATTCATATTGTGTTTCATACAATCATTCTCATGCATTATGCTTTATAAAATTAATTACCATTGGACCTTGCCCATCTAAAATCCTTTTTATAAGTGAGATCATACAATATTTGTGCTTTTGTATCTGGCTTATTTCACGGAGCATAATATTTACAAGGTTTATCCATGTTGTAACACGTACCAGGACTTCATTTCTCCTTGTGATTGAATAATACTCCATTGTATGGACCGACTATATTATGTTGTTTATACATTCGCCTGTTGAGGGACACTTGGCTTGTTTCCACCTTTTACCTATTGTGAATCATGCTGCCATAAACACTGGTAACAAGTACCTGTTTGAGTCCTTGCTTTTTGTTTTCTTGAGGTATATACCTAAGAGTGAGCTTTGTGGGTCACATGGCAATTCTGTTCCAATTTAGAAGAACTTGCAAACTGTTTTCCAACGTAGGGTGGCTCCATGATTTTACATCCTCACCAAGAACCAAGGAGGGTTCAGTTTCTCTACCTCCTTGCCAACACCTGTTGTTTTGCACCTCTTCTGTAGTAGTCAGCTGAATGGATATGAAGTAAGAGCTCTCTGTGGGTTTGATTTACATCTCTTTAATGATCAACATCATAAAAACAAAAAATTCTCTCCACTGGCACTATAGGAAACAACAGGATAAATGGAGAAGAGATTGAAACTGTCCATGACTTTATCTTACTTAGATTCACAATCAATACACTTGAAACCAGCAGTCAGGAGATTAGGAGACGTATGGCCCTATGAAAGTCTGTAGTCAGTGACCTCTCCAAATTACTGAGGAGCAATGATGTTAGTATGAGGACGAAGGTGCACCTTAATCAGGCCATGGTCTTTTTTTTTTTGTTACACCAATGAGAGCTGGGCAGTGAAAAAGTATGACAGAAGATGTCTTTGAACTGTGGTGTTGGAGAAGAGTACTGAACACCCCATGGACATCCAAGAGAACAAACAGATACATATGTTTTGGAGAAGGTGAAGCCAGAGTGTTCCTTGAAGGCAAAGATGATTAAACTTTGCCTCACATACTTTGGGCATGTTGCTAGGAGAGACTATTCATTAGGGAGGGACATCATGCTGGGGAAGGTAGGGGGATGACAAAAGATAGGAAAACCCTCAACCAGGTGGATTGGCACAGTGACTGCAGCAAAGGGTTCACGTGTACCAGAGATTGTGAGGATGGCACAGGATAGGGTTGCTACAAATGGTATTTGACCCAACATTACCTAACAACAAAACAATGCTTAATGATATTTAATATCTTGTCATGTGGGGTTTTTTCCCCCATTTGTATTTCTTCTTCAGATATATTCAAGTTCTTTGCTCATTTTTAATTGGATTGTTTGTCTCTTGGTTACAAGTTGGAGGGGTTCATTATACTAGTCCCTTATTAGATGTTGTTGTTGTTGTTGTTGTTGTTGTGAGCCGTTGAGTCACCTGAGACTCATTGCGACCCTATGTACAACAGCCCTAAACCCTGCTCTATCCTGTGCCAGTCTTACTGCCTCCAACACACCTACCCCCATTACCCCAGTCACTGAATCAATTCATTTCATCCAGGGTCTTCCTCTCTTGCACCGTCCCTCCACCCTCCCTCTCCAAGGACTGGTCCCTCTTTGCAACATGCCCAAAGTATGTCAGATGAAGCTTCAGAATCATTGCCTCCAAGGAGCAGCCTGGTCTGACCCTCTTTAAGATGACCTGTTCATTATCCTGGTATATTCAATACTCAACTCCAACACCATAGCTCAAAGGCATCAATTCTCCTTCTATCTTCCCTAGTCATTGTCCAGCTTTCTGATGCACAGCAAGTAATTGCAAAGACTGGCCTGGATCAGGCGCACCTTCATCTCCAGGCTGACATCGTTGCTCTTCACTACTACTTGGAGAAGATTTGCAAATAATTTTCTCCACCTCGTGAATTGGCTTCTCCATTGATTTGTAATAAATGTGGCAGCAAGGCTGCGATGTCAGTGACTTTATAGTCTCCAGGAATTAGACAAACAAAAGTTCAAGTCCTGTGTTTGTCACATGCTACTAGTGTAACTTTGGGGAAGCAATAGTGGGCTTCTTTTTAATGGGGGTAATGTTTGCAAATACTGTAAAAAAAAAATCTGACAAAGAATCAATTACTCCTGTTCTCCGCCCCTCCACCAACACTCCCACACCTAGCACATGAACCTCCCTGAGTGATTCTTGTTGTTGTTAGTAGCTGCTGTCAGGTCAGACCCTCAGTCCTGGT